TATCCTACTATTTCTAACTGTTTAGTTTATATTGCAGAACTTGCAAATTTGTTTGATCATTTTGTGGGGAAATTTATCAACTTGCTATTGATTCTACGAGAAAAAAGTTTAAAAAATATTTTTTCCCTATTCCCCCTATTTATGGTGTTGCTGCATTGTAAAATCCTATTATGAAATTAGGAGGTCCTCAATTTTGGTATGAAACTATTTATAATGGTTTAGCACTTGAAGATGAGGAGTTAGTCTAAACTTCCGGACGCAATAGTCTCAATTAAAATAAATGTTCAAACTATTTATAATGCTTATCAAGTTGCATTAGATCATGCTAGACCAAATGTTCCAACTCCTTCTTCTTCTAGTTCTCAATCATCTAAAAGAACTGCAGGAGTAAGAGCACTTAGTGTTTGGGTGGGGTTCAGGGGTTCTCAAGGTTCTAGTACTAGTGATTTTTCACAACTAAATGAGCTTGAAGTTTATTTGTCACATGGAATTGAGGAAGTAAATCCCGGCGGCTCCTTTAATATTTTGGAATGGTGGAAGGACAAAGAAAAACACTTTCCGATTCTTTCAAGGATGACCCATGTAACTTATATGGACAAAAATTAATATGTAACTTGTATTTTGGCACATCTTGATTATTTTCTTTTTCTTCTCAATGGTGGTATTAACACCTTGTTGTGCTCATTCCATAGGGGAAGGAAGACTAAGAAAGATATTGCCATGTTTTTTTAATGCTATAATAAAATTATAACGCATTGCTTTGAATATCTCTTTAAAATATTTTTGTCTTTAAATTTGAATTAAAACATTTAGGTCACAATTGTATAATATAATTTACAAGGAATTGCCTTAGATATTGTTATTACCATTTATTTTCTCTAATTTCTATAAAAAAAAATTTTAAAAATAGAAAGTATCCATTGGGCCCACTTGGGCCCGGGACCGGCCCACGTAACCCGGGATCGTTAGTTCGTGGTCCCGGTCCGGTTCCAACAAGAAGCCCGCGAAGCCCGGGACCACTTAGGACCGGGCCCGGCTCACATGCCACCTTTATTGTCAGGTGCTCGCTTATGGTGTGATGGTCTCTGGTTGGACATTTAGAAGAAGAGAAGTCGAAGAGCATTGGATGTTGCGCCATTGGCATTCATGCGGATCTTGTGGAAGGAGAGGAGAAGGAATAGAGAACAACTATCTATATTTGAGGATTAACTTCTCATTCTTAATTTCTTTTTCGTTATAAAAAAATGGATGTCGTTCGTAGAGAATAACATTATTTTGTAGTTTTTTTTTTTTGGTATATTGGTTGTATAAGGGAGATTTTCCCATAATTAATTAATTATTTACCTTATGAAAAAGAGACAATTCTGTGAAAGAGCGGAGGACAATATTGCAGAAAGATGAAGTTTGACTAGGGAGGCTATAGTTGGAAGGGAAAATTAAGGGAAGAGAAAAACTAGGAATGATGAAAACTATGGGTATTGATTTTCTTTTTGATAAAACTATGGGTATGACCTGTTGAATTGTATTCAATCATCACAGCTAACAACTCAATGAAAGGAGAACCTACTTAAGTCATTGTCCAAGCAGATGATGGCTTGGAGACAGTATTTATATATATGTGTATACATGATGTCATAATTTTCTATGTGCTAATGTGGTTGCTCTCTCAGTTAATTTATCTGTCATTTTATATTGATTCATAGATGTCCTACCATGCAGCTGGAGGATGATGTGGATGATCTTGAGAATGCTCTTCCAGCAAATAAGCCATCGGTTGTTCTTTTCATTGATAGATCGTCTGACTCCTTGAAAATCAGAGAAAAGAGCAGGAAGGCTCTTGATTCTTTTAGAGAGTTTGCCCTGAAAATTCAGATGTCAAATGAAATGAGTGAACCAAAAGCATTCAGATTGCAAAAGACATCTCTTAAGGCTTTTCAAGCATCAAGAAGTACTTCCAAACACCCTAAAGTAGGGCTTTTGTCAGCATCTCAAAAAATAAATATCAAAGACAAGATGTCAATTGTTGTATTGAACCAGGGAAAACAAGTCATCCTAGAAGATCTGGTTTCGGGTCTACAGGGGAGTACATTGCATGAAGTCTTGGCATATTCACTTCAGCAAAAGAAGGAAGTGAAATTGAGCTCACTTGCGAAAGATGCAAGATTTCAACTTTTATCTGAAGATTTTGACATCAAAACTGTTCAAGCTTTACCAGGTCAAACAGAAGTTCAGTCGAACAAGGCTTCGGAGCTCCTTGTGGAAGGTGTTTCTGAAGGTATTATTGATCCAGATAAAAAAGCAAAGCTGCATGAAGATGCCATTTTGGGGAAGCAATACAATGAACAATCTGAATCAAATAAAGTCAAGCCTTCTCACGTTTGCCAAAAAGATGCTGAAACTATATTGGTGCACACGGAAGTTCAGTCAGATGAACTTTGTCCTTTAGAAGGTGCTCTAGTAAGGCCTATTGATTCAGGTAAGGATCAAATGCCGCATGTTGAGGAAGGGAAACACATCGAACAAATAAAACCTGTTAATACTGAATTGCAAAATGATGAGAAGAATTTACTTGAAGATGAAAGTTCACAAAAATCTGTAAACTTTGGTCATGATGGTATGCTGGAGGTTGCTACTAGTCCTAATGCAGAGGAAACAGTCGAGAAGCTGGACGAGCAGAATGAAAAGAGAAACTTCAGATCTTCCTTCTTCTTTCTCGATGGTCACTATAGACGACTTAGAGCCCTGACGTCAGGTTCAAATATACCATCTGTGGTACTAATTGATCCCACTTCGCAGCAACACTATGTTTTAAGCGAGCAAACAGATTTCAGCTGCACTTTGCTATCTGAATTTCTTGATGGCTTTCTCAATGGAAGTCTTCATCCATATCAACAGTCTGAGCATGTTGTTCCAACAATTAGGGATGCTCCAATTCCACCATTTGTTAATCTGGATTTTCACGAGGCTGATTCTATCCCTCGAGTGACAGTGCATATGTTCAATGAGCTGGTCTTTTATAATCAGCCTGATTCCAAAAATGCTGGTAATTCTCGAGATAAGGATGTTTTAGTTCTTTTCAGCAATAGCTGGTGTGGGTTTTGCCAGAGGATGGAACTGGTTGTTCGTGAAGTGTATCGTGCAATCAAGGGATATACTAAAACCTTAAGGAATGGGTTTAAGAATGAGAAACTGTCATTGAATAGGGGTAAGCAGTCTAGCCCATGTCTGCTCTTCTTTGGGTAACTTATGTATTAATTTATATAAAATAATTTGTATATATAACTAGGCCTGGGATTAAGATTGTAAGGATGTATAATGGTTAAAATTGTTTTAAACTATCATATCATTTAAAACACAAAATCTACATGATTTCATCTCATTCTAGAAAGGTCTATTTTCTGCTAGAAGTTAATAAACAAATGTTCTAAATGCTTTTTAAAAGTTGAGAAGCTATTTGGTCCATGTCTATCCTCTCTCTTAGTCCATATGAAAGAGAATAATAAACAGAATAATATTAGAACTAGCTAATTTCAGTTTGTTCTGGTGATATCCTGCATTACAAATTAATCAAGTTAACGCAAACATAGGCTTTATCTCCTCCTTTCAGTTATATTCTGCACATCTTTGCCAGAGCCTTGGTCGCGGTGAAGAGCAATGTTGATTTACCATTCATGGCAAACATACTCTTTGTTTGCTTTATTTTAGTATCCTTTGTTTTATTGGCAAGTAGTTAAATTTGTGGCAGATGAGGCGAGCAATGCGAACCTGAAGTTTCCAATGATCTACTTGATGGATTGTACATTAAATGACTGCAGCCCAATCCTGAAATCAGCGGTTCAGGTGTGAATTAAACTCATATAAAATTTGTCATTGTGTCATTAGTATACTTGTTATGTTTGTACTCCTGCTAATTACAAGGTATATCAATCTATTGTCATATTTGGAGCAACTATGACATGCCTCATTTCTTGAGCACTCTTTTTTTTTATCAGTAAACAAGAGGTATTATTTGATAAGAACATATCAAGGAGATGCAGAAGCACAAAAAAGATGAAAGCTAAAGTTTAAATAAAATAAAATAAAATAAAATAAATAAAAGAAACAAAGAAAAAAGGAACAGGGATTAGACCTTGTAAGGATCCTTATTTAGACAAGGAAATCTAGGAACTGGCATTTCTTGAAATTTCTACAATTTTGAAACTGTGCCCCCTTTCACTTGGTTAAGTCCTTACATTAATCTGCAAATCTTTTGTGAGACTAAAAATATTTGGCTTTGGTAGCGTTGATAGTTACCATGTGGCCATTTCCATCCTGTTATGACCAACTTTTACAAATTACTGTGAGTACTTCAAATGCTTAGCTGATAAGTAGTTTTTAGTATAATATGCATTTCGACTTCCCGAGATAGCCTTTTCAGCTGATTACGTGTAGAAGTATTATATCCCATTGTTAGCATCTTAGCTTACTTAAGTTAGATGGCCGCCAAATAGTTGGGGTCAAAGGCACGGAAATAATAATTATCTGCACTCTGGTTTCTCATCTTTTCACCCTTTTGCAAGTAGATGGCACTGCTTTTACTATTTCACATTCTTGGGCTATGATCTTCTTTGTGAAGTTAGGGATGTGCCAAGATAAGCGCCTCACATGCTCAGCTGTTCTGAAATAAAATTTACCCTAATTACAGAAGAGCTTTGCTGTTGGGTGATCCTGTTAATCAAATAAAACTAATGGCTGAAAATCATGCACTTTCGCTCCGAAATCTTCTATTAAGTTTCATCCTGGTATGTGAAATGCAGGTGGAAAATTCTAAGCTTTTATAATCTCTAAATTCTAGTGCTTCCTAACTCAAATTAAGCAGTCCACAATCAAGCCTCCACTTGTATTTAAGTGTTAATTTTTGTGTTGTGCTTGTCCATTGCAATTTTGCAGAGGGAACTTTATCCATCTCTACTCTTATTTCCAGCTGGGAGGAAGAAAGCTATCCCTTATGGTGGAGATATAGTAGTATCCAATATCATTAACTTTCTTGCTCACCACGGGGGCCACTTTTACGATCTTCTTCAGGAGAAAGGTGAGTTTCCAGATTTGAAAATATCCACTGTTTTTCATCAACACATCTGAATGAAGGGGAAAAATAACTCGAGCGAGGAAGTTAAGAAATATCATTTACTCAAGTTGGAAGTGGTTACTTACCTAGAAAGTGGGGGAGCTGGAACCATATATTTGAGAGTATCTAATAAAGCATTATTAGGATAATAGATGTGGAGATTTAGTGTGTACGCTTTTTTTTTTTACAGATAGGTTTTGTTTTGTGTCCTTAATAGCAGTGTAGAAATTAAAGTCTCCTAAATTGAGAATAAAGTTAACTCAAATTACGCCTGAACCGAACATTAGGTAGGATAAGAAACCTGCAAAATATGAGGATGCTAAATTTTGTGCAGGGTGTAGATATATAGCAGAATAAATCAGTGTTGTCAAAGGCGAAAAGCTCTAAAAAGCGTTCTAGGTCAATTGGGGCTTTAAGCGCAAAGCACAATTTAAGTGTGGGCTTTAGTTAAAAAAGGCGCAATGCAAGAAAAAAAATATATATATGAAATTCAAGATAAAAGTAACAAATTCATTCATATTCTTTTCTTTAACAACTAATACACTTATTTTTCGATTATATTTGTAGTCTAGCATTGCTCCATTCAAGATAGAACTCATGGGCGATAAGGGGCATGTCTTGGTACCTTGCCTACACTGAAGCGCAGCTTAAGTGAGGCAAAGCGCCTTCCCTGAGCTTTTCTGAGCTTTAGGGCTTAAGCGCGCCTTAAATGAGCCTTTGACAGCACTAGAATAAATTCTTAAAATAGTTAAACTACCACTTACTAGAGCTACAGGAATATTATTGAAATTAGTTACTCGGCACGTGCGTTCCACGTGAATATCAAGTCACGTAATATACGATTTTGTAAAAATAAGATTAATATTACTTTATAAAAAAACTTTGAGTAAATAATTATACGTGAAAGAATAAAGTACAAATAATTTGATATCAATAAGTATATGAAAATTATATGCCTTGTTTGTTACCATCACCTTCAACGATGTGACTATAACATTGCTTTGATTTTATAAGATAACGTATTTCTTATAAAAATCTTTATCAAAATATTTTTCTTCGTTTAATGTTGTTTAATAAGATGAAATGTAGATGATTCTAAAACACAAAAGGCTATATTGGAGTGGAAAAAATAATAACGGGTAGCGCATGTACGTTCATATATGCAAAATGCATCAAATTAATAACATAAATCCATGAACAAAAAAGATTAAATTTTGATAATTTATAGGAAGTGTATCATTTACATCTAACCAAAGATAATAGAGAAATTACACACAATCTACAAGGGGAGGTAAAAATATATAGCGAAAACCATCCTCAATAGGTGAATTATCTAAATAATTACCACTTTAAAAGCACATGAGTAATATCTCCGGTCAGTTACAAATAAATAAAGTACCAACTCAATCAACAGGTCTAAGAAAATCAAACCGAAATCTTATTATTTAGAGTTATTCAATCACTAACTCATGATGACAAAAAAGAAAGTAATAAAAAAGAAAAGATAGAAAATCCACCTATTTGAGACCCCAGAAAAACAATTAAGCAGAGCCCCTCTTCTTAGTCAGAACTAAACCAAATGATCATAGTTCAAAAAGTAGTAATAATTGATAATAGATGAACAAAAAAAGTGAAGAAGTGAAGTGAGTTGAATGAGGACGTTTCTTTCGACAGTTGGAGATATAAATGCAATATATCCTCACTTAAACTACTTTGGGAAGAACAATATCACTCGTTTCTTGGAAAATAGAAAAACAATTAATACATACTTGAATCCTGATAAGTACTGGTCAATTTCTTCATTCAGTAAGTGTTTGCTTGTTTTAAGATTATTTATTACATTTATATCTCTTGCAAGATAACGATGTTAAGGAAGAATTTTAAATCTATTTGTGGCCTGAATTAAATGAACTCGTAAAAGGCAAGTACTCCCTCCGTTCACTTTTACTTGGCACGTTTTGACTTTTCACGCCCCTTAAGAAATAATAAATGAAGTGCATAATTTACCATGATACCCATATTAATTGATGCATATTTTATTGAATTTGAGAAAATGATTTGAAATGAGTAATAAATACTGTGGGTATAACAGGAAAAAAAATTGTTTTCTCTTGATATGCGTAAAGTGACAAGTAAAAATGAAAATCTATTTTTAGTATACCTGCCAAGTAAAAGTAAACGGAGGGAGTAAATGATATGCATTAGCTTTTCATTTAACAATTTCTTTTTATCTTTTTTCAAGCATTCTGCTTTCACATTCTGTTTCTAAGCATTAAGATTATTTTTTTTTGGCTTGAATAACCTAAACACATTGACTTGAATATATTGCTGTAATATATATTTCATACCTTTCCATAAATTGGAAGTTAAGTAACACATGATTTTATACATGTACCATAAAATATGCCAATTAATGAATTTCTGTTTAACAATGAAGTAAAGCTAACTGTAGCATTAACTAACTTATTCTTAAACACAACAAACATAAATTTGAAGATAATCACAAGATGGTCATTTATGGTAATATTTATGAAAATAAGGTTTAAAAAAATCACTAGAAATAGATATATATAGATTATAGATTATAAATATTGAAGTTATAAGAAAATAGAACCCGGTTTTGTTGTCAATTTCTCTTTGAATTCACTGTGTTTTGATCTCGTAAGGAAAACATTCACATTTCTTTTTTTCTTCAGGTTTTCAAAAAAAATTATACCAAGAATTCAAGATCTTGCATTGCCCTTCACCCCACAAGTTTGAACCGGTAGCACCACTTAAAGCAAAAAAAGAGTCGTTTTGAATTTAAGATGCTTTCGGGAAAAAAGACAAGAGGATTCAGATAGTGCTTTCCTTAAACTCGTAGAAAATTCCATCTTTAATTTTCAACGTTGTCTTAATCCAATATTCTTCAGGCTTGTAATCCTCAAAGAAAAGCAAAGTCTTATTATTTGGCGAATATGTGCTTGATTAATACAGTAAATGAATAAGTTAATGAAACAAAACGGTGGCTACTCTGAAAAAGACATGTCTCTTTGTAGTTATTTTTTTTTAGTTAAATAAAATATTTAGGTTAATTAAAAGGATATTTAAGTAATTTAACTTTTAACTTATGGGCTTCCCACTTTTATAATAATATTAGATATAGATAGATTGACGCCCATGTTTAGGAAAGAATACTAGTAGCACCTGTAGTAATTGTGAGATTGCTTTGTCTTTTGTTTGAAAAATATATATGCTCAATCCTCTATTGTTCTTATTCCATAAGTCACTGGTTTGCATTTCATGTCCAACATTAAAGAGAGGTTTATCCTTTACACTGAAGGCAAAAGGAGAGAATTATAACCAATTAAGTAGTATCTATCCAACCAAAAGAAGAGGAGAAACCTATCCCTAGAGTATCTGTTGAATACCTGTTTAAAGGAAGATTCCTGGAGTATCCAGATTGCAGTGAAACCTATCATCATAAGTTTTCTGGTCATTTGCTTTGCCAATTAGTGCAGTTGCATATTACAAGTTCTTTTTATATGTTTCAAATTTGTCTTTCCCTTTTTCCTACATCAGGTATACTGTGGAGTGAAGGTGAACCAGGGATAAATCATAACATGAATGCAGAGGCTCCTCCATTTAAGAACTTACCGCATGAAATAATACTTCAAGAAGGACCGCTAACATTAGATGTTCAGTTCAGCCAAAATAGAGCTCCTCTTAGTAGCTCCGCGAAAATATCTCCTCATGTGATTGTTGGTTCCATCCTTGTTGCTACGGAGAAGCTTCTAAATGTTCACCCATTTGATGGATCCAAGGTACTTGTTGTGAAAGTGAATCAAAGCACAGGATTTCAAGGTCTGATTGTCAACAAACATATCAGCTGGGACTCGCTTGATGAACTTGAAGATAACTTACAGCTTCTGAAGGAGGCTCCTCTATCTTTCGGTGGCCCCATTATGAAACGTGGAATGCCTCTCGTTTCATTGTCCAGAAAGTATATTGTTAACCAGTCTATGGAAGTATTACCAAATGTTTATTTTCTTGACCATAGGGCCACAATAAGCATCATAGAAGAGCTAAGGCTAGGAAACCAGTCTATCCATGACTTCTGGTTCTTTTTGGGATTTTCGAGTTGGGGTTGGGGCCAGCTATTTGATGAAATTTCTGAAGGAGCTTGGATTGTTAGAAATTATGATGAGGAGCAAATAGATGGGGCTTGGAGATGACCTAGATCTTCTGGATCAGGTTAAATTGCTGAATTAGTTATTCCTTTCAAGAGTCTTAAAGTGCGACATTATTAGAGTTTAACAATAGAATTTGCTTTACAATAGGCAGCGACTATCACAAGAGTTGTGTATAGGTGTATAAGGATAAAACAACATTCAAATATCCTAATGTGGTCTGCTTTTTGTACCATATCTTTCATTTGACTGACTTCGTACTGAGTCGGTCTGTCTGTCCCNTATATAAAGATTATAACACGATAAAAAATCGCTGGATTATGTAGTCTATATGATCTTTTTGGCAAACTCTTGGTTTATTGCATTAAAATTGGGATATCGGTGTATGATATAAAAGCTTACAATTTTGCCCTTGCTTTTGATGTAAAGTGAAAATTAGAAAGATGAATCAAGGTTAATTTGTCTTTTAGGAGTTTTATCTCTCGAAAACTATTTCTGTATAAGTTATTGGCCAAATAAATAGACACCCCTTGAAGTTGTCACCAATTTTCACTTAGATACTTTAACTAAGGTATTTACCCATTGCACACTTTAACCTCATCTAATGTGTGCCAATTAAACACAAGTTGCTGACATGACCCAATGGGCGTTTTACACATTTCTTAAGCGCGTGAAAGGCCGGGTGATTCCAGATTCGTTCATCAGCTCTTCCACACAATATCATACAATTCTCCCCAGTAATAAACATTACTAGTAAATAAAAGGTAACTAAGAAATGATATTTCAAAAAACATTCACGGATATCATGGAAAAGCTTATCACCATGCGAATATATCTCTTTTTAATTTCATTAACTTGAAGAATTTTTCAAATTGGAGGTTCTCTGATCAATTTTCAAAAGTAGCAGTGGCAAATGGGTCAAAATCTTTTTCTTGAATCGGGGAGTGAATGCTTGCTCGAACAATTTCTTTGGGGACTTTGGTAATTTTGGAGAATCAATGTGTTTTGTTTAGTGAAACTGTGGTGATGGTTTCAAAGGACTTAATCTTTCCATCAAAGAGCAAATCAGCTTCTCATAAATAAACTCTCTAATGTCCTCTAAAATCAAAAGCAGATTTGTCATTTTTAACTGGGTCAATATTGATCTCTTTCTCTTTAAGATTTCTTTCCGATTGGGTCGTTGTTGATTTTTCTCATGTATGAATTTTTTTCCAATTGAATCGCCATCTTCAATTGGGTCAGCTTCTGAATGGCTTGAAGGAGCACTCATGTAAGGAGTATAACCACGGCCAAAGTTGAACTCCGCCAGTCTAGAGTATATTATCATTTATATCTCCATTTATGCATAGTATATGTCCAATCTTTTTCTAATGGGTAAAGAAGAATAATATACACATGCAGATGACAGGAGAAAAGGAAAGAGGAAGACGAAAATGTGGGGATTTTATCAAGAATGAGTCTTTCCACGTGCCATTCACTCCTTCGTTCATTTACATCAGACATATCTGAACCTCGCGCTCTTTAATTGGAGCTGTCAAATTAGTGTTTAATTGAAACACTTTAGATAAGGTTGGAGTGTCTAATAGGAAAATGCTTTAGTTAAAGTGTCTATGTGAAAATTGGTGACAACTTTAAGGGGCTATCTATGTATTTGGCCTAAGTTATATGGCAGTATTTTCAAAAATTAAATAGTCATGTGTCTTTTTATTTTATAAGTGTCCTACCTATTTCCAAGTGGCTATGAATATCTACCATGTGGCATTTTGCATGAAGATATAAGACCAAATGGCTAAGCCAAAAACAAGTGGCAATCATCTTTCATGCAATTAAACACTTGACAATTTAAGAAGATCCTAGTATCTCTATAAATAGCCTTCTTGTTCATCCCTAAGAGATATCAACAAAAATTGGTCTTTGTTACACTTTTCTTAGCTAATCATTGCTTTCTTCTTTGGCTAATCATTACTATAATTATTATTCCCACTATTGACCAAATTATTATTTGTTGAAATTATTTCTTCCCTCCGGTTTATTCCAAAACTTGCTGGTATTATTTAATTTTGCTAATTCTTGTATCATCTAAATAAATAGAGATGGACTTGTTTAATCCTGGGGAAATATTTTATATTGTTGAAATAATTTTTTAGGACAGTGCCCAATACGACTCAAGCCAATTCGTGTATCTGCTTATAAATAATATTATTGCAGTATTATTATCATTATTTTCTGGTGTCATTTCCCTACAATCTAAGAAACTATGGCAAGTAAAACTACTTCGGAAATTTTTGATGGTGCTACCAATTTTGGTATTGTCTCTGCTGCTACTGTTCCAGTTGTCCTGCCAGATATCCATGGTGTTGAAAATACGTTATTGCATCCACAACTTTGGCAGACAATAATGTCAAAATACAGGTATGTAAATAGAAATGGTTACATATCCAATTCTAATATTAAAATCTTCAAGAAAAATGCACCTCAATGCAAGAGAAGAGTTGAGATAAATGACAATCTCGCTAAGTCAAAATTAAATTTGATTAAAGCGGATAATATAATTGTTGCGGTCATTTTTCAAATAAATAATGTGGCCAATGTAAAAAATTGGATGATAGACTCTGGTGCTACTAGGCACATTTGTGCAGACAAAAATGTCTTACACCCAAGTTGAAGAAGGAGAAGAAACTATTTAACTTGGTGACTCAAGAACAACTCGCGTTCCTGGGAAAGAAAAAATTCTTCTCAAACTCACATCTGGTAAAACTCTAGCATTGAGTGATGTATTGCATGTTCCTAATATACAAACCAATTTGATTTCTGTGGGATTATTAGGAAAAGTTGGAGTGAAGGTTTCTTTCGAGAATGATGAGGTCGTATTGACCAAAAATAATATTTTTGTGGGCAATGGATATTGTAACCATGATTTATTTGTGCTTAATATTTTTGATACTAGATATAAAAATGCATCTTCTTCTGCTTATATGGTTGAGTTAATTTCTTTGTGGCATGCTAGACTAGGACATGTTAATGTCGCGTATATAAAGAAAATGCAGTCACTAGGATTAATATCTGGTTTAGGCTCAAATAATATTGACAAGTGTGAAACATGTGTTGAAGCTAAAAGTACTAGAAAGACTTATTTTTCTGTAAATAGAGAAACTGAATTGTTATCTTTAATTCACATTGATTTAGATGATTTGAAGCAGACTATGACTAGAGGTGGTAAAAGATATTATGTGACTTTTATTGATGATTTTTCTAGATATACTAAGTTGTATTTGCTTAGAAATAAAGATGATACTTTTAATGATTTTATTTCTTATAAAACTAAGGTTGAAAATCAACTTAGTAGAAAAATCAAGAGAATTAGATCTGATAAAGGTGGAGAATATTTATCTTTGAATGAATTTTGTGAAAAGAATGGAATAATTCATGAAGTAACTCCGCTTTATTCACCTGAGTCCAATGGAGTAGCTGAAAGGAAAAATAGAACATTGAAAGAGATGATGAACTCTATGTTAGTTAGTTCTAATGCTCCTGATAATTTGTGGGGTGAAGCTATTTTATCTGCATGTCACTTACAAAATAGAATACCACATAGAAGAACTGACAAAATTCCGTATGAATTGTGGAGGGGTTATAAACCTAACTTGAAATATTTAAAAGTGTGGGGGTGCCTTGCTAAAGGTCTTTTGCCTGAACCTAAAAAGAGAAAAATAGGTTCTAAAATTGCTGATTGCATGCTTATTGGATATGCTGAACATAGTGTTGCATATAGATTTATTGTTTTAAAAAGTGATGTGCTTGATTGTAATATAATAATTGAGATAAAAAATGTTGAGTTCTTTGAATATATTTATTCATTGTTTGATAAAATTTTTCATACACCTGTTGAAACAAATAGTGAAATTACCTCTAATGAGGAACTAAGAAGGAGCAAAAGGCCTAGGAAAGAATATTTTTTTTATGGAAATGATTTTCAAACTTTTCTTGTCGATTATGAACCATCAAATTATTTTGAAGCTATATCTTCTTCAGATATATTGGAAAGAGGTAATAAAAGTTGAAATCGATTCTATTTTGAAAAATAATACATGGATTTTAACTAATTTACCTCCTGGTGCAAAGCCTATTGGTTGTAAATGAATTTCCAAAAAGAAATTTAATCCTGATGGATCTTTAGATAAATATAAAGCTCGGTTAGTAGCAAAAGAATTTTCTCAAAAATAAAATATAGATTATTTTGATACATTTGCACCAGTGACTAGAATTTCTTCTATTCGAGTTTTAATTGCCTTAGCTTCAATCCATAAGCTTTTTATCTACCAAATGGATGTGAATACTGCTTTTCTAAATGGTGATTTAGAAGAAGAAATTTATATGGTTCAACCTAAAGGTTGTGTCATTTCTGGACAAGAAAATAAAGTTTGTAAATTAATTAAATCTCTTTATGGCCTTATACAAGTTCCTAAGCAGTGGTATGAGAAATTTGAATAAGTCTTACTGAGAGACTATTTTTTTTTCCAGTGGAGGTGGATAAATGTGTTTATACTAAAGTTGTAGACAATGATTATGTGATAATATGTCTGTATGTTGATGACATGCTTATATTTGGTACAAGTTTATTGTGCAAAATACTAAATTATTTTTATCTGCTAATTTTGATATGAAAGATCTGGGTGAAGTAAATACAATATTGGGAGTTAAAGTTATAAGGAGTGAAGATAGAATTATGTTGTCACAAGAACATTATGTTGAGAGACTTCTTAAGAAGTTTAAATATTTTAATGTCACATCTGTGAGCACTCCTTTTAATGCTAACTCTCAGTTGAAAAAGAATAATGGTGACCCAATTGCTCAGTCTAAATATGCGCATATTATTGGGAGTCTGATACATTTAATGAATTTTACAAGGCCTGATATAGCCTATGTTGTGTGTAGACTGAGTAGATATACTCATAATCCCAACAGAGATCATTGGTCTGCATTAGATAGACTAATGAAATATTTGAGAGGAACCATGAATTATGGTATTCTATATAGTGGATTTCCTTCTACCTTAGAAGGGTACAATGATGCAAACTGGATCTCTAATTCAGATGAGACAAAATCCACTACTGGTTATGTATTCACCCTTGGTGGTGGTGCAATATCGTGGAAATTAGCTAAACAGACGATCATTGCTAGATCAACTATAGAATCAGAGTTTGTAGCTCTGGAGTTAGCTGGTTCTGAGGCGGAGTGGCTAAGAAACTTCTTAGCTAATATCCCTTTAATAAAGGATGTATTGCCTCATGTGTCTATGCATTGTGATTGTCAAGCGGCAATAGCTATTGCAAAGAATAAACCTTATAATTGTATACGTAGACAAATGAAATTGAGACATGATGTCATAAAACAGTTGTTGAGAGATGGAATAGTTTTCACTGACTATGTGAAGTTAGAGATAAATTTGGCCGATCCTATGACTAAACCTGTGGGAAGAAAATTAATTCATCAAACCTCAAAAGAGATGGGGTTAAGGCCGACATGTTGTCAATAGAGATGGTAACCCAACTTATGTGATTGGAGATCCCATGAAGTAAGTTCATATGGGTAATAACAAGTCGATATTGGCACTGAAGCACTAAAAGAGAGTGCTTGACTGCTACCAATTGAGAGGTTGAGTTATAACTCTTAATGAAGTTCATAGTCCGTATGGATGGTATATTTAAAAGCAGCATACACTTGATGAATTCACCTATATGAGAGTGGAGTGGGCTGCTCCTATGAGATTTTGGCCTAGTCTCTAGAGCTCTCATGAATAACCAGGCACGCGCATGGCCCATTGGGCGCAAAACCGCGTTGAACAGCAAAATTACCGGGGGTCAAAATGTGATTGATAAAATCTCTGACTTACAATAAGAATTATTGGTTTATAAAAATATTATATTTCACCAGTAATTCTGTGAGTTAAATTTTATTGGTCTAAGTTTGGTTTATAGTCCAGAATACACCAAACCTATATTTGGACCATGCAAATCCATCAAGTTGTTAATTCTTCCATTCTTTTATCTTTTTCCTATAAATTTTTGAAAATATGTGGGGATTGTGGCAGTATTTTCAAAAATTAAATAGCCATGTGTCCTTTTAGTGTCCTACCTATTTTCAAGAGGCTATAAATATCTACCATGTGACCTTTTGCATGAAGATATGAGGCCAAATGGCTAAGCCAAAAACAAGTGGCAATCATCTTTCGTGCAATTAAACACTTGGCAATTTAAGAAAACCCTAGTATCTCTATAAATAGCCTTCTTGTTCATCCCTAAGAGATATCAACAAAAATTGGTCTTTGTTACACTTTTCTTAGCTAATCATTGCTTTCTTCTTTGGCTAATCATTACTATAATTATTATTCCCACTATTGACCAAATCATTATTTGTTGAAATTATTTCTTCCCTCCAGTTTATTCCAAAACTTGCTGGTATTATTTAATTTTGCTGATTCCTGTATCCTCTAAATAAATAGAGATGAGCTTGTTTAATCCTAGGGAAACATTTCACGTTGCTGAAATAGTTTCTTAGGACAGTGCCTAGCACGACTCAAGCTAATTCGTATATCTGCTTACAAATAATATTATTCCAGTATTATTATCGTTATTTTCTGGTGTCATTTCCCTGCAAGTTATTCCATGTCTGATCGGGTATAATACTATTTCCAGCAACAAAATGAGCCGTAGACTCAATCTGGCAGTTTACATTCTTTTATAGCAACTGATTTGCTATCATTCAATTTCTCCTTTTGCTCTTTCTGCTATAGTGTATCAAAATATATAGTATAACTTTCAACAAAAAGAGAAAGGAATGAGTTCTTTTTATTCCTAATATAAAGTATTTGTTTACAGTATGATTCAGGTGCTTTGCCTTGTCCTTTAAGTAACAACCGTGTCTACACTGAGATGAATATTTGAGTGATGAGGGATGGATCCAAACGCAAATATCTCTTTCCTTTGTTGGCTCTTTCCCCAACCCATTGAGTCAATAAAAGCCAACTTCTTTTATCATTGGTGCAATAATCAATCTCACCCCATAGCTATTGAGATTTCATTAAAGTTACCTTCTTGAGCTCCAATAATCTGGACCACCTCCTATCAATTGAAGCAGCATTCTCTTTGCCCAAAGCTGCAATGAACCAATTAAATAATTAACGTATGTTATTATTGTAATAGAAATGCATTTCGTTTTTCCAATTTGATTTCCTATTTCACTTATCAATTGACCGACTCTGCTGTAACTATATTCGGTTTCTGAAAAATCAGAATTCAGATATTTTGAAACCATGTACAAATAATTTTTCTAACTCAAAACGATAGAATAAGGACATCTCAATATAGTGTTTCTTACGCTGCAATTTAGGTTGGGATTTTTCACATGATTCTGAACAAGTCTCCTGCAAAAATAAGCAATACCGATCATATCTTGCCATCTTCTAAAATTCTTTTCTTTATAAATAAAATGGAGTTATTTTATATATAGAAGAAAACTGGATACTTTCACAGCGGCAGCAAGGCTTATGGTATCTTGTATTAGAGAATCAAGGTCAGCTTCAAATCCTGGTTTCACATAGATAACCTGCAATGTGCCAAAAAGGATAAACTTTTAGGTTTCTTTATTGGACTCTCCAAAAATGCTATCATACCAATGTCGTATCCTCAAAATATGCATTATTTTTGGAGAATTCACCCGATAATATTTATGAAGAATCTGAGCAAACATAGAACCAGAGAAAGAGGCTTAATTTGTATTCTTACAGATGGATCATCCCAACCAAGCAGTGGAAGCTCATCGGTAGCTGATCCTTTTTGTCTGCTTGATGGTAAAACCCAAACTTTAAAGCTTGCATCAATCTGAGCAAAGAGGAACAAATTATCCAGATTTATGAAGGAAAACCCAGAAATCAAGCACAAGAATTTCGTTATTTGGAATTGGGAAAATGTTTAAGTACTATCTGAAATTGAGCCACTTAGTTGATCTAATAGAAAAAGTTTTTAATTTTTACCCCTAACCCTAACAGAGCTCCAACTTTAGTGTAACTTTGAAGTATACTCAAAATTGTGGAGTGAATTTGAACCTTTTTTTCTCCAAGAATCTGTACATGTGGATCCACCCATTCATGTTACAAGACAAGTATAAGACTAATGGTAAAAGATAGTGTAGGGACAAATTTGAACCTTTTCCTTTATTTTAAGAGGCTTAAAACTACCATTCTACTTAACAAATTTAAAAAATATTTTTGGTTTCAAAATATTAAAAGTTACGAATAAAAGCGTGACAGAAGTTTGGATGGTTGCTATGTTCGTTTCATTGTACTGTATCATTTTGATGTATATAATGTTTGGATAGATTGTATCGTTTGCCGTCTTTTCATGATATCATGCACCAACAATACGAATAATAAACTTACGATATTATAAGGAAAACGTAAGGTACAAAGTAATACTATTATATACTAAAAAGGTAGGTTAAGGATAAAATATGATTATTTAATAACAAAAAAGGCAACATGAGAGAAAAAATAAAGAAATGATGCGATCACGCCAAATCGGTCGTTCCATAAAGTGACACTTTTCGTCATTACGTAACGACAGATTTAAACGATACGATACAATAAAATTTAAGTAACAATCAAAACAAACATTGTATTTAAAGTAACAATACGATACAATATAACAGGTAACAATCATCCAAACAAGCTGTGAACGTACTCTCTCTGTTCCAGTTTATGTGAACATATTTTCTTTTTGGTCTGTTCTAAAAAGAATGACCCCTTCCTAAATTTGGAAATAATTTAACTTGAACTTTCAATTCTATCCTTAATGAGAAACTTTTATAACCACACAAATATTCTGATATATTTACCACCACAGGTTTCAAAACAATTATAGCCATACATATTTTGACTTGTTTAAAATCATAAATTCTAAATTTTTTTATTTTTTTAAAACTACGTGCCCAATCAAACAGACAGTAAGTTTTTAAATATTAGAAAGTACACTGTACAATAAATACCTCTCTGCAGTATGTGGAAGAGCAGTTGCTACATTTTCTAGTGAAAGATGTGATAACTCTTCCATCCACTGAGAGGCCAAAACCTGTGTGCTGCTCATGAATTAAAAGGTCTTGCATTCAGGATTTGCTCATCGTTATTTGCAAAATACAGAATTTCACTATTTGAACATTGGTGAAATATATAAAACTTGTTTGAGAAATATTTTAAGTGAAATAATGGATACTCACAAAACATTCAAATATTTTTTTTTTAAAGTGAAATACATGTTGAAACATAATTAAAAAAATTAATTCAAATGCTCCTTTTCAACTTATTAAACTTCGAACACTCCTTTTCTTCTTCGCTTTTAACCAAATATTATCCAACGGAAGTACTCTTTGAGTAATATCAGCAGCATAACAATGCTAATATTGGCAATAGAATGAAAATAATACTCCCTCCGTTCACTTTTACTTGTCATGTATACTAAAAATAGATTTTTATTTTTACTTGTCACTTTACGCATATCAAGAGAAGACAATTTTTTTTCTTCTATTTATTACTCATTTCAAATCATTTTCTCAAATCCAATAAAATATGCATCAATTAATATGGATATCATGATAAATTATGCACTTCATTTATTATTTCTTAACGAGCGTGAAAAGTCAAAATGTGCCAAGTAAAAGTGAACGGAGGGAATATTTGACTTATAGATACTGTCACTCTGCATAGAAATTTTATAGTACCAACTTATTTTACCTGCTGTAATAGATGGTCTTCCTTAACTTTGGGCTTACGAATTCCACCTTTTATGAATAACCCTACATTTATAATATGGATAACTTGATAGTGTAAAAACTATTTAAGTTGTCCGCATGTTTGGTTGACATAATCAAATGCACCACTCTATGGAATCCATTCATGTAAGAATTAATCACAGAATAAGAATGGCAAATTAAAGGAATAGCGATGAAACCTTGTGAATACAGAGATTAATGGAAACTTGAGTATCTTTATGGCCATCTTCAGCTAAATCTTCAAGTTGAAGATCTCGAAGAGAGAAAATGTAGTCACACTTCCATTCCCCATGCCATCTTCCATCAGAGGTAGAAATTGTCACCAAACGCTTAGAAGCCCTTTGACTTCTTTTTGTTATCTTCAAGATTTGGAAATAACCAAATTAAACAAGAAAATTAAGACCATGTAAAAAAACTTTACACTATCAAATCACTTTTAACAAATCATTTATCATTTTTTTGTAGGTTGTCGGTCCATATTGGTACGAAAAATTACAAATAACTACTTTTAATGAAGTGTATATGAAAGAGAGAATAAAAAATAGTAAGATGTTTTGTTGCTTCGTTACTACAAGAAGCAGGGGAGCTAGAGCACTAGGTGCGGATTAGAACGAACTCTTAACTTTTGCTAGGATACTATATTTATATTAGGAAATATATACAAATATTTAATTGTGAATCGGTAATTAAAATGAATTATAAATTTGATGGCAAGTTGAGAGATCATAAACTTAAAATCATAAAAAGAAAAAGAATTTACCAATGAGAAGTCATTTCCTTTTAATGAAGCTTTGGTGTTGTTTGGGGAAAAATAGAAGGGTTTAATAGGTTGTGCTTGGGATATAGCGTTTATGGAGCATCTTGATGATATCCAGCTCCCAGCTCTTGCCATATCCCTTCTTTTCACTCTCCTTATCCTCTATACTGCTTGACCTTCCAACAGGTTGGGTAGGCCAAATAGGTGGATATATTTATTCTTTCTTGTTTCTTATTTTTTTTCTTGGATTTTTAATTTTGGCAATTTGGATATTTCCTTTTATCTCAAAAGCTTCATTTGCATTTGACTCAAACAGTAGCGAAAACAAGAATTTTATTAAAGAGTGTTTAAATTTTAAAGAAATAAATAAATTTTATTTTCGATAATTAGGTGCACCTAGATTTAAATTAAGCAACATACTATTTAGCTAAATCAATTCTTTTTTTTTTTTTGTCTCTAAGAAGAACGCGACTACTTCTGATTGGCCGGCATTTTCTTCTCGGTTAGATGCCTACCTTGTTTTTTTTTTTTTTTTTTTTTTTTTTTTTTTTTTTTTTCCTAA